ACCAGGCATTTCGTGTCCATGGTACATCTCCTCTCTGATAAATCACAGATCTACAGTTGCAGCATGGGGCTCTGAGTTCTGCTCTAACATCATTAGTAATTCCAGTTTGTTGCAAACACATACCTAGCAGACATTTTTGTCTCTGCAGATGCAACTCAGGAGTCTACTCTTTCAGCATTGATATAGGAAAGCAAATGTCTGCTTAGAGAATTCGATACTTCAAAACCTCCATTTCCTTGGCAAAATGGAGGGATGTCAGCATTTGGTACAAGAAAGCATCTCATGGAAGCACAGACATTCAAGCCTGTCGAATGCTCTGCTATTTCCATCCTTCCCCCTCCTCTTCCCTTAGTGGGCTGATATCAGCACTAACCACTTACTCACCATAAGCCCTTTTACAACAAACACCCTGCCAGAAGCTTCTGTGTCTCTCCAGGTTGCACACTGCCAGTCCAAGGCAATGTCCACAGATTTTCTCAGACACCGGACCAGAATTCCTGTAACCCAAAACACAAGCCTAGTCCTGTGCTCAGGCTCCACGAACTGTCCATAAATGACATCAAGGCAGTGCCAGCAGAGCAAGGTTACCTTTCTGGTTTCTCTGGGTGCCAGAGGGCTGTCTCTACCACTGCTGCTCACAATGGTGCTTCTTAACTATGCAATCTGACCCTGAAAAGCCATAATTTGAGACCATAATTTTCTGCAGAGGGCCTTTTTCAAATAAGCCCAGACTGACAAAACCAAGCTCCTTAAAGATGCAGCAAAATCACTTCATTACTGTTTCATGCATTTTATTTTAAAGGCCTATTAAGAACCCATTCTTTCTGGTAGAATGCTATTTTCATCTCCGCTTTTTTTTTTCCTTTGAGAGCTTGAATCTAAGATTTTCCTATCTCTGCCTTTTTTTTCTCGTCTGTTTCTATTTGATCAATGATGATTCTTTTTTTTTCCCGTGCTTCTAAGAGAGTTGACATTAAAATGTCTAATTCCTATTCTCTTTCTGTTATGTTTGTGCATTGGAGTCATTCACAATGATGTCAGCTCAGCTCTGGGCATTGTCTCCGCTAGTTCAATTCCAGCTGAATCGCTGGAGATAGCAGGACATCAGCATTCACTTGATTGATTGAGCATATCCAGAGAATAAGATGGGGTTTGCATTCAGCTACACACAGGAAAAACTGAAGGAATTATAAAGCAGTCCAAAGTTGGTAAGTTCTTTTGGAGTCACATATGTTTTGCTTCTCACGTATCTTCCTGTGCTTGAGGGCACCATGTAAATAACAACCATTTCAATGCCAAGCCCTTCCCTGACAGCGCTCATGGAAGAAAGAGGAAAGTGATTAAAAAGTATTGTTTAACATAATTAATCAATTTAACAGATTTCAAGGCTAAAGGATCATATTATGCATTATCTCCTATAAATACAGGAGAATTTCATCCTTTAATTCCAGAATTTTGTCCAACAACCAGAGAGAGCACTTTTTCAGAGGTAAATACTTCAGACTGAGTTCTGATATTAGTATTAATTATAAAGCCACTTTTGGGTTTAAAACTTGCTTCCTTAGTCCAGTGCCTTCCCCTGTGACAAGATCTTGGTGTTGTGTGTGGCTCAGGATTGCATGTGACCTATGAACGGTTCACGTCTTCCCAAATTCCAGATTTTGAGTGTGAAACTAAAGTGAAGAAGAGGATGCAGGGCAAAAATTTTGGAGGGGTGGCTAAAGTTTGGCTCAGAAATCCATTTTCCTCCAAAAGAAGTGCTGAGCCGAGCAGGTCTCCATGAAGGAAATGAAGAAATCTTCCTGCTAACTCAAATCTACACCTGACTATTTTATGACTTCAGAACACGGATTGCCAAACCTTCCAACAACAGGACTAAAAACCTCAGCAGACACATTGGTTCAGTTATGCCCTTTATGGGCTGAATGAAACAATGGAAGGACCAGCTATGCGACAGAACAGTAACACTTGGCCTCTCCTTGTGACAACAGTCAGCTGTCCCAGTTCAAACTTACCTTTGCATTTCTCCTAACTGCAACTGTGTATCTTCAGATTAGGGGTTCTTTCTGTATGACATATGGCTCAGGTGGTGTTTACCTGCTCAGAAACACCTGCAGTAGCTCTGCCCTGGCTTCAGTTACCTGTTCTGAGAGCGACTGTGCAGCTCTGGCCCAGCCTCCCTGCTGCACATGCACACAACAGAGAGACAGATGAGTCTGCTTCTGAGACAGTGGACACTCATTTGTGATCATTAACAAGCAGTCCCCATGAAAGATGACAACTCATGTGTCAGCTGAAACATTTTACATTAATTGGAACAAAGTTCCTATCACATATATTTTGATAATAGCCACTCTCTCAGGGACATTCTGCACCACACAGCGAGAACATGTTAAATGTCTTTCTTTGGAGGCAAGAAAGAGCACCAGAAGGTAAATGCAGCTGCAGCCAGTGAGGAAAGACAAACAGAAAACAGCAGGGAAACCGCTGTCTGTGGAGACAAGCAACGAGCTGTGGAGCTCCTCAGCTCTGTCAGCAGTGCAGATCCTGGCACAGGTCTGCAAGTTCCAAAGGCTGCTGTTTTTCCAGAGTGTGGTAGAGACCCTACAAAGGATTGGTAGAAAGTAAGGGATGAAACTGCCACTAACAAACTTCTCCATGGACAGCAAGTCAGTACTCAAAGCTGAAGTCTGGTGATATTCTGTATGCCTACATACAGAGTATTCTAATGGGTTCTAATATTCTAATACAAAACTAATGCATGGCCATTTGCCATGATCTCAGAGTTTTCCTGGTTCACTCCTACCGTGTGACTGAGCTTTCCTCACTTAACTTCCATCTTAGGTCTGGCCCTTCCTCAGCTGTGACATTTGGCTGGTTCCCAGACAACGGCAGAATGACTTCAAATACTTATCTCCTGAAGTTCTTAAAAACAGTTTCTTGTAGTAATTTGAGATGGAGAGTGTACAGGAATACACATGTCTAAAGGAGCTCCAGAATACTTAACAATGGCTGTTGTGAGACCTTATGCATTCCTATGCCATTTCAGTCCTTTTAACACCAAGAAACAATTTCAAGCAACACAGAAGCCAGAGAGTCTCTCTGGGTTTCTAACGTGCTTTACGTGCTGCTTAGACTTTCTCTTCACTTATCTGCTGCTGGATAAGAACAATGTTGAAAAGACATTAAAGTGACAGTCAAGATCTGTAGCTACATTAGTCATTCTGTCAGAACCCTGGAAAGAACCTCACTGAAGTCATGCAGGAAAACAATTTGTTGAAGCATCAGCTGAAGCAGTGAGTTGCAACTCATTCAAATCTCTCTGAAGTACACGATCAAGGAAACTGCTGAAGCCCTGAAAGCCACAATTGATTCTGCAAACAGGAGATACGTAAAACGAACTGAACTCGCCTCCAGCCTCTGGTATGTGATAACAATCTGAGTGTCCACCTATTTTATACCTGAAAAGCAGTCAAGTGGGAAAATATAGGATGAGTGATGTTCCCTTAGTGCAGTGACAGAACTACCCATACAAGCTGCCAGTACTTTCCTATCACCTTGTGTAATTGGTGTTTAGTTCCACCGAATGGAGCTATTCCAGACATGCACTGATCCAACCAAAATAACTATTTTGTAGCATTTTTACCTGAACCCTGAGCAATGCTTCCCCAGATCCAGAAGAGTTAAGCAATTGATGGTCTTACAGATCTTTTTGCCAAAGATAACATCCTTAAGCCTTGAAGTCTACGGTACAGCCATGAGCCTAAAAAAACCACCTTTACCTGAATAACTGGGGGATTTGAGGAACCCAGACAGATGCCAGAAAATCCATAGTAGCTCAATTGTAAATTGACTTAAATAAAATCCACCAAGTTCATCCAATCAGGGAATACCACACAATATAGGGAAAACCCATACAGGACTTTATCCTAACCCTTGTGTTCGCCTAAGGGTACACCACTATTAGCTAATAAAGAGATAAAATATGTAAAACCTTTTTTTTCCCCAAGGGGCTGGTGGAAAAGGGATCAAAGTGTTGGTCAGTGATGTTTTTTCAAATCCGGTGTCACCTGTAAGTTCTAGAGAAACAATGTGTAGAAAGAGATTCAGACAATCTGGAGCTCAGGAACAATTATCACTAAAGAAAAAAAAAAAGAATAGAAAATAAAGGTTTGGCTTTAATCTAAATATTAACCCTATTACCATGCTTCAAGCACAGTTTATTGTGTAAGTTTGGAAATTTAGGGCAGTATATCCAGGACTTGATATATCACGTATATCCTGCATATACCTGAGCTACTGATATACCTGATGTCACATGATCCTGGATATACGGGATATATTTGGATGTATTTGGGTTGATCCTGCGTATGCTTTAGCCCCTTTGCTGAGGTCCCTCCCCGGAGGCACCAGCTCGGGCTGTTTCTGTGTTACCGTGCCGTGAATAAACTGCTTTATGGAACGAGACATCTGAGACCGCCTTGGGAAACCTGGGGTCGAGCCGGCGGGGAAACCCGGTCTGACTGTGCGAGTGGGGTGTGCGGGGGAGCCCCGGGTCACCGTGGCCGCCGCCGTGAGGGGGCTTCGGTCCCGGCAGTGACAGCGACCGGCGTTGGGAGCGCGGCTCCCGGAGCGCCGCGGGGACGCTCGGACTGGCAGGTTTCTTTCACAACCTCGCCGGCACGGCAGGGTTGGGGCTTCTCCCCCGGGGGACACCGGGGACGCCTGAGGGGAGGACGCCTGAGGGGAGGACGCCTGAGGGGGTGCGGGCGGGGCTCCGCGAGGGCTGCGCGAGCGCTCCGCGGTGCCCCCTCTCGCCGCCAGGCGGCGCCCCGTGCCGCTCGCGCGCGGGTCCCGGAGCGGCCGCGCGGCGCTTCCGGCGGCGCAGGAAGGGGCGGCGCGCGCGGCCGCGGTGAGGGCGGCGGGGGCGGCCCCGGAGCGGCGGCACCGCGGGGGCTCGGGGGGCTCGGGGGCTCCGGGAGCGGGGCAGGGCGGGCACAGGACTCCGGGAGCGCTCCCCGGGAGAGCGTGGGCCGCGATGTGGCCGCGGCGGGGCCAGGACCGCGCCATCGCGGCGGCTGAGGGGGGGCCGCGGCACAGGGCTCCCCCCGCGGGGTCTGTGGCACTGTTAGCGGTACCCAGAGCCGCACCAGGGAAGCTCTTTATTGCCACCCGTTCCACCGGCCCCGTGCTGGTGCGGGAGGTCAGGGAACTGCAGCTGGGCTTGGAAATTGGAGAATGAATTAGAACCGTACGGGCTAGCGCGCTGGTGCATTTGATTCCTGTAAGGTCTCACGGTGCGTCTCCTTCCTAGGAAAAATGACTTCTGAAAGCAGCTCCTTCGTGAAGGGCATGGTGCTTGGAGGAGCCTTCTGCATGCTGGTTACACTGCTGGGACACATCAAGGTGGGGCACGGGACCAAAGCGCGAGACCACGAGCACCATCACATCCAGGCTCCCGACAAAGAGGATGTCTTAAACCTTTCTGAGGGTGAACGTATGGAGCTTAGTAAAAGTATCCGTGTTTACTGTATCATCCTTGTCAAACCGAAAGATCTGGGGCACTGGGCTGCAGCGAAGGAGACCTGGAGCAAGCACTGCGACAAGGCAGAGTTCTACAGCTCTGAAAATGTCAAAGTGTTCAATTCTGTGGCCCTCAACACGAAAGGACATGTGGGTGATGATGAGAAAAGCTTACAAGATGACGTATGAACGCTACAAGGATGAATTCAGCTGGTTTTCCTTGCGTATCCAACAACATTTGCTATTATTGAAAATCTCAAGTACTTCTTACTGAGAAAAGACCCCTCTCAGCCTTTTTACATCGGCCACGCTGTGAAATCTGGTGACCTCGAGTACGTGGATGGCGAGGGAGGAATCGTCCTAAGCATCGAGTCACTGAGACGACTCTCCAGCGTTCTTGAAGACCCCAACAAGTGTCCAGAGCAGGGAGGTATGATTTGGAAACTCGCCGAGGACAAGCAGCTGGCGATCTGCTTGAAGTACACGGGGGTGTTCGCCGAGAACGCGGAGGATTCGGAAGGAAAGGACGTCTTCAACACCAAATCCGTGGGCACCCTCATCAAGGAGGCCATGGCCACCCACCCGCAGCAGGTGGTGGACGGCTGCTGCTCTGACATGGCCATCACCTTCAGCGGGCTGAGCCCCAACCAGATGCACGTGATGATGTATGGGGTGTACAGGCTGAGGCCCTACGGACACACCTACAGCGATGCCCTCGTGTTCTTGCCCCCGGAGGGCTCGGACAACGACTGAGGTGCCGCCAGGGGAGGGGTGCAGTCGGCTCATCTCGTTGGTACTGACACGTGCTGGTACTGCTGTACAGGTTGTTTTTGCACACTGAGGGTTGGTAAAGCTCTTGATTTCAAAAGTGGAAGGAGAAATTTTTTTTTCTAACTCTTTTGTATGGAAAAAAAGCTGCTGGCTTTTGATAGAGATGGAGTGAAATGATAAAAAGATGTTGTTAATGTTTATAATGAAAGGGAATTGAGTTTATAGGGGGGGTTTGTACATGTAAATATTTATTAATGAAAATTCAAATGAAGTTTAGTCTACTCTTACAAATATATTTTTGCAAGACTTTGATTCTCTCAGTTCTTCCAGGCATTTCTAGAATGTCTTTATATCTTTCTAAGATGTACCAATAAAACTGACTACAGATTAAGTCTCAAAGACTAACTTGAAGATGTTTCTTTTACTCTCAACCACACAATACCTTGAGCTACATTGTTTTATGCAGCCGCTGCTGCTTTATGTGCAGCCTCCTAACCCAGTAAGGAATTATCAGGAAGCAAAGTGGCAAGAAATCCTTTAGGAAGTTGCAGCTTAATCATATCAAGTGCCCTTTGGACTGCTGTTTCTAAGCAGACAAAAGAAAGAGATAACTGTATTTGAGTAAGTATTAATATGGTCAGGGAGCCTGTTTGCACAAGAGTAATTGCTCATTTAAAATTTCACTCCACCTTTAAGTGTATTAGAATACAGGTTTGGTGGTGTTTCCGCTCCTGTAAGTGGTACTAATAGTGTTTAGAAGGAAGAAGATGGTTAATTGTCAGTAAAAATGTAGTTTAGATACATTTACAAAGGCTTTTAACACCAAGATGCAGAAAGATCAGCACGGGCTTGCACTCCCACCCTTGGAACTTTATGCAACACAGGTAACACAACAAAGCAACCTGCAGATCTCCCCCATACTGGGGTTGAGGTGGCCTGTGGTGGGGTTTGGGTTTGTTGTTACAGATTTGGAGTTTTGTTTTCAGGTTGGGTCTTTTGGGTTTGTTTGGTTTTTTGGGTTTTTTTTACAACTGAGGCTCAAGTCACTGGGTCACACTCCCTTCCCCTCACAGCACGTGCAAATAAACAGCACTTCAGTATTTACTCCCTATAGAATTCACTGGCCTGACATGGGTGTTCCAAGACTTAAGGAAGGTACTACATCCATCTGCTGCATCTAGGACTGTCACAGGCTTTGTTGGCACTACAATATTCATAAAACACATGAGAAGATAGTGTTATCTCACCTTTAACAGACTGTTTTAACACCCTACCCCAAGCTGCAAGGGGGCAGGTGGGAAAGTGAAACAGCTGCTTCAAATTGTTGAGAATATCTACATCTTGGTGTTTTTGTTTTAAGCATCAGGTCCTTCCTTTTTGACAAGAAGGGTAAGACAACTGCTGAAACTCCCTGACAAGCTCCCACAGCTCAGCTATTTCAGAATGTGCAAAAGGTGAGGCAAGATGCACCTTCTCGTCCTGTCAGTCAGAGCTCAGCTAAAAAAGCAAGACAAATGTCCATGATTGCTGCCAAAACATAGATAAAACCTGTATTTTTGATGTTTTGCTAAACTGATGAACAATTTAAGCCTGATTTGACTTGTATTGTCTTAAAGAATAATATATAAAGGTTAGACTCCCACTGTTGGGAATACTTTGACAAAACCAGATGAAGAAAGTAAAATTTTGATGTGTTTCTGATATTTAAGACAGTTCTGACCCCCCCACAACAACAGCAGTCATAGGAGAAAGGATGGTAGTGAACAACTCAAATGAGAATAAATCTCGTTTGTCACAGATTTGAGAGGTACTGTAAAACAACAGGAGGAAACCATGCAGAGGGAAAAAAACACAGAACACAAGGCTAGCTTGTTTTACAAAGAAAAATAAAGAAAAAACACTGAAGCACAAGCTGATTTCACACAGCACTAACCAGGAATTAGTACATAGTGGGATCCTTAAGATGCATAAAAATGTCCATCGGCGTTCTGAAGGTGTGAGGTTTGATGAAACTTTTTCTGCTACACTGCCTAAATTTTGTCTTACTCCATTGATACTTTCAGATTTATCCTGACATTTTCAGAAGCACAATCTCATAAATAATCTTACAGGAGAAACTGTAAAGTAGCACACATTAGGTAATACATTCCATCTCCCACGTTTTAATTTGGCTTTAGAATCAGATGGAGAACTCCTTGGCCACTCTCTTCTGTGAAGGTCCCAGGGTGGGGAAAGCAAACATGCAGAACAGCACCGAGACAAGGCATGGGCCCACAAAATCACATTCTGCCATTGCACAATGTATCTGTTATAATAAAGACCTGAAATATTAATAAATGCTCCCAGAGACAGTTACGAGTGGTAGACCTTAAGGTTTCCTTAGTTTATTACATGATTCCATTTTTCCATAGGCATAGCTTTGGGTATGCAGTTGCTGAACACAGGACTGGGTATCCAGACAAACACACAGTGCTGCTGACCCCAATCTGTAGCTGTAGGTACGTGTGGCAGTGTGCACAAGCTGAGATCTCTCCAACTTCCACCTGAAGAAGCTGCTCCTGGCTACACTGATAACCATCTTTTGCACTGATAACCATCATGCCATTATTTAACAGTGGTTTTGCTTCTGCTCCTAAAATAAGGCTGCAAACGGGGAGTAGGGAGCGTGAGGCACCGGGGTGGACGCGCTCCATTGGGAGCCTGCCCAGCGTTACTGTCAACTCCACTACAGCGAGAGCAATAGCAAAGTGTTGGCAGGTAGAAATCTCAACACAGCTCTAAGTCTTCAGATATGAACCAGCATAAAAGGATTTCTAGTCCACGCATCAGTCTAAGTTCATAAATCCTATGCAGACAAACGCATATTAAAAAGAGGAAAATCCTTAAGTAAAATGAAGTTAATGCCGTTAATAAGTTAAAAAAAATAACATCAAAAAAATGATTCCTCCACATTCAAGAAACATGTAGACTAACAAGATGTTAATCAGAAGAAAAAAATCTGAAATGTTTCAGAGGTTTTATAAACTGTATTTATATTTCACACACACTTTATATTGCTCTTCTAGAAGAGCATAAAAATGTAAACATTTCTTGGCTTTTTCCTCCTTTCTGTTTGAAATAGTCTACTCACAGTCCATGCAGAATCTTTCCACCAGGTATCTTCAGTCACTGAAGACTTGGGTTTAAGACAAAACAAAACAACTGTAATAAAAAGAAATCTAGAAAACTATTGTAGCCTAACAGTACTTTTGCATTCACTTGATTTATTTAGCATAGCCACAGAACAAAATAATTTGTACATTCAGTCACATTAAAAACAAGGAATTACAAAGCAGTCCACATTTAATCTAAGTGCATTCCTTTGGAGTAACAGTTCCTTTTGTTTCATTTATATGTCTTCATATGCCAAAGGCCATCATTTAAATAGTGGATATTTTCAATACCAATCCCTTTGTTGACCTTCTCACTGTGGAAGGAGGAAAAAGTACAAAAGTATTAGATAGTTAAATATTAGAGCAGTATAAAATATAATATTTTAAGTGGAAAGTGCAACATTTGTCAGCTGGAAGGGGAAAAGCTAATAATCACAAAGTCATTATCTTCAACAGCATGTGGACAAGAAACAATATTTGTTATTACGTTTGCCCACACTGCTGACTGATAAGAGGACAATATTTGCCTTCCACGTTTTGTCAACAGCCTTCCACAGTATTTTTGGTACTTCTTTGTGGGAGACAGTTCTTCAGACTTCTGCCACTTTTTTAATTCTAGCATTTCTCTACCAAAGTAGCACAGCAGTTGTGAGTCCTCCCCTCCCAGCACAAGAGGTGGTACATGACTGGAATGTGAAATTTGACAAATTCTGGTTCCAAGTGCGCCACCAACACAATCAAACACAGGTGAGCTGCCTTGCTGCTGGTTGCAGATCATCTACCCATTTAAGAAAGAATTAAAAGTGCTAAATTTCTGTGCCAAGGACTTGCAGCATGTTACAAACGTACCATCCTCTGTAGTACTGACTCTGTATCTTTTGAGTCATGTCATCTTCTAAAAATTATTAGTCTGTGTGTCTGCATTGAATTTGTGTTTATCATTTTTCCAGTACATTATTCCACCAAAAAAAAAAGTAAAAATCTAGTTTTGTCGCCTTAAACAAGACATTCTAGGAGTGAGAAAAAGTTTCATTCCCCTGGAGGATATAATTTACTGTATTTACACCAAGTGTTCTATTACTTACACAGCTTGTCCAAAAGTAATATCAGGAAGGGAAATGCTGCTAACCCAGAATTAACATATTAAATGTTGTAATCACAGCGAGAGACTGAAATCACACCGTTCCACAATTTTCTGGTTTAACCAATGTCACACAAAGAAGCAGCCAACAGGCTGCAGAGATCAGTACCACTTTGTTTTCCTCTCCAGTTCATGTTGCTTCTCACAGGAACAGGATATTCAGCTGCAAGGCTGCTGAATCCCAAGTTAGGATGAGGAATACAGAGAAGCTCGGCTTGCAGTGATCACAACACATCACTGCAGACTTAGGGCTGGGACACTTCAGTAGCTTTTCTTTCCACTTCCTCTTGGTGTCTTTTGAATCACTACAAAGAATCCTGAGTGATATAATTTCTCAACAGCTACAGCAGGTCCACATCCAGGTTGTTCCAATCCCACTCTATCCCTGTCTTCTGTAACACATTCCCTCTCTCCTTGTGCTGCTACCATTATGAGTTGGGACCGCAGTCACCCAGCACAGGAGATGATCCTGCTGAGCATTATCCCCACACAAAAGAGTGACTTGTTTGCATCAAAATCAGCTTCCTCACTGCCACAAAGGGCAAACAGGGCTGGAACCAACCAGCCCAAACCCACTGGGTGCTCCTCACATCCTGCTGCAAGACCTTACAGAACTTAAAACGACAAGGTGATTTAGCTACTTACAATATTGCACTGTGTGAAAGCCAAGAACAACTAGCACCCATTTCCGTTTTCTATCCCTTTGCCTTCTCAAATAATTTTCAGTTTATCCCCTGAACAGACCTCTGCATTTCACAAGAAGCTCAGATAGGCCAGTCAGCACATCAAGCAGGAATGCTGCATGTGGGTACAGGGCAGGCCACAGAGGAAAACCCAGACAGGCAGCCAAACACCAGCATGATTTCAGTCTCCCTGTCCCTGCACACAAAAATCACTTCACCGTTTTCAATCCTCTCAAATCCAAATTGGATCTCTTGCCCAGCCCAGGTACTTGATACAAATATGTCTGTTCAATGAAATCTTTGACAAAGGATGATCGAGCTCTAGAAATACTAACATTCAGCAGTGGTACTAATGCTGAGCACCTTAAAATCCACATTCACATGAAAAGAACTATTTGGATTCCAAATAAGTACAGAAGATACTCCCTGCCTCCTCTTCTTTCCCTGACTACCAATCAACAAAACATAATCTTAAAAAACTCTGTACTTGAACAGCACATGCTGCAACAGTGATGCAGTAACCTTGACAGTGGTGCTTATATTCCAAACTAACCTAAGAATAATGACATGGCACAGGTTATATTTCATTTTTTAAAACACTTACATGTCCTCAGCTGACATCTTCATTACTCCCACACATAATGCATGTTGTTTTCCCTCTGCCATTATTGCCTACAAATTACTGCTAAGGAAAACAGATTTCTTTTAAAACTATTTCAGAAAAGGAAAAGCAATATGAAGAAACGACTTCCAAAACACTTTCAAAAGCCCACGTTGAACTTTTACCCTTTTAGTAATTCTAAAGCTACAGCTCTTAAAGATAAGCAAAACAATGCACTGCATTTAACAACTGAATCACAGTGTGTAGAACAAAGCATGTATTTATGAACTTGGAACAGCAATTACAGAAAAAAAAATCTCCCAGCACTAAACTCCGTGTCTTCCTTTGTGCCTAACACAGAGATGACAATCTCTCCTTTCTGGAACAAAATGGCACATGTTTCTGGGGCCATTTCAGATTCCAAGGCACAGAAGAATTGGGACACAAATTTAAAAAACCAGAAGCACTAAAATCAGATGTGTCTTTTTCAAAGTTTAGCAACACATGGTACCAACAGCTGATCTTTTCCTACAGCATCTAACAACACAATCAGCACAGTTTGGTGTTATTAATGCTGTATTTGCTCAGGGTTTCCTTTCTCAGTAACATAATGAGGAGTGAATTAGCACTTTCCTCATTTTACACTTGCTAACTTCATCAGACACATAGAGCAAGTCCTGACCACAGTAAAGCTGATCCTTAACATCTTTCCAAATTCCCTAGGATCAGGAGAGAAATCTCCTTTAACTGAAGGGAATAGAAGATTGACTATGGAGGCAGGGGACAAATTACACCGCACCTCATCTACTTTCACAGTTCTGCATAAAATCACCAAGGAGCTCCACTTACCAAGGAGATGAATGGAACAGCAGCCCACCCAACAGTACAGCAGGAGCATCACAGTAAGTAAAAATATAAGAACAATGTAACCTTGCCAAATAACACCTAAACCTCTGCAGCTTTTTTCTGATTACCAGTTATTTCATGAAATCCGATTAAAATCCAAAGTAATCCAGATTATGGTCAGCTGAGAATACAAGAACAGAAATTTAACTCGTCTCACAGCAGGCAGCAATTCACAGTTAAAGAAGGATACAACGACAGTATCGACAGCAGCAGGGTAAAGCTTTGCTCCAGGAGACGTCAGGCCAGGGCACATTATATTGGCTCCACTTAGGACAAATTTAATGGCGCCTTTATCAACCTGCTGATGTGGCAGAATAAATGGGTCTAGGAGGGGAAAGATACAGCATTACAATTAATACAGGGAGATGACAACATGAATAACTTATTATCAAATCAGTTTAGAGGGGGCAATTAGATATACAGTGTGCTGTGAGGGCAGAAAGTTTGACAGTCAATCACCAGGGCTCCTGCTGGGCTGTACTGTCCCAAAAGGACACAAGTGCTGTCCCAAAAGGACACATCTTTTACCTGAGAATCAAAGGTAATCCAGCACCAGAGGCCTGTGCCTCCTGCACATTCATAGACCCACACACTGAGGAACAATTTGAACAAGTTCCCACAGGGAAAACAATCTCTCAAGTGCCCAAATACTCAGAGGTCTTTAAAAAAAGGGGTCTGTAATCCCTCAAATGTGACAGAGAAACATTTTAATGTTAAGAGGAAAAAAAAGGCAAAGATGGACAAAATTCATGAAGCTGTCAGCTCTCCAAGCCAACCTTCAAGGCACCCCCTTGAAGTATTTCCAACACTGAGATTTGACTGAATAACGTTTTTTAGGATTTAAATCAGAGTAACACAATCAAGCAGAACAGCAAGAAAAGCCATGCAAATGTAAATTGTAAAAAGTAAAAAGCATGCAGCCTAAGTTCCTACGGGAGGCAAGTACACATTACATCATTAAACCTATTACAGATCACAGAATATTTTTTTCATCCTTCTCTTCCCAGGACTTCCACCCTCAGAAAACTTACATTTGTGAAGCAACCTTAGCGTGGGGTAAAAAATCCCTTCTCTTTGCCTGAAGAACAGCAGCTCCCCATTCACAGTGAGGATTTCTATATGTTCATGACTGCAAGATTAAAAAATAATTATTCCAATAGCTACTTAAATCCTGCTATAGTTTAAATAAATATTTCACTTCACATTCTGATCTATCTTGGCACCTGAGAATTAAGACAGTCAATTAGCAAGAAAATATAAAACTAAAAATATTATCTTTTTGCATGGCTTATTCTTCAACAATGATCTCCTGCTCACTTCCTTCCTCTTCAAAAAAAAAAAATCTACAGACAAAATGCACAAATTGCATTTCTTTGGGGTTTTTGAATGTAGTGCAAAGGGTGGATAAGGAGAAAGAGCAAAAATGTACTACCTTCTACCTAGAAAAAACTTAAAATTAAATAACTTAGATAATATATGGAAGCCCAAAAATTGTAAAAAATATTACTGGAAGGTATCCAAACAAGTCTGAGCTTCCATACCCATAAAGCTGAATGTTTCCCTTCAACAACAGGCTAATCCTCGGGCAGTGCCTGAACACACTGCACATTCACTGCCAGGCAGCAGTTTAATGTTCTTCAAGCATCCTACAACAGCTCGTGCCTTCAAGAGCACAACGAGCACATGTAAACTTTCTGGTCTGGCCATAACACGAACTATTAGCTATTCAGATATGATAGAAGGCTTTCAAAAACATTAGGTTCGTCTACTCTACAAAGTCAACACATAAGGGAAGCACCTTAAAAGCAAAGCTCAAGAGAGAAGAAACTTACCATCTTACTATTTTGACTGGGTCTTTCTTTGGCATGATTTGGTTTAGCCATGGTTCAATAACAGGAAACTGGTCTATCAGTTGATTCTTGATACCTTTAATAACTGAAGTCTTCAGCTGGATACAGTTTGATACATTCTCCTTTTCATCAAATCTGTAAAGTGAGTGAAAGTTTTTCAGAAATGCACAATTTACTGCCCAAACGATACCATATCTCTGCAGCATTCTTCAGAAATTTTTAAAAACTCACTATAGAACAGCACATCAACTGTCTTAACTTTCAAATCCAGGATTTCATGGGACTTAAATCTGTCTCCTGGGAACACTGGGCAGAGGAATGGTAGGGGAGCCCCACCAGTAGGCTGTCTTCATCCCTAAACTTTGTGAATGTCCACAAAACACGTGTTTAGCCTCATAGACACACCCCGGCACACACTGTTATTTCACTCAACTCCAAGAGCACTTTGCTGGCAACACCAACACCCAGAGCCCCGTTGGGATGCGAGCCCCTCACCTCCACCAGGTAAGTACGAACGGCGCTTCGAGCCACCCCGAAGTTAAGACAAGTTAATGACTCAGCTCCCTCCGGAGGGTTTCCCATTTAACAACCGAGTGCCCGAGGCAGAGCCGGGGCCGCGCTGCCCGAGGAGGCCGCGGGGCCGCTCCCGAGCAGGGCCGAGCCCGGGGCTGAGGGGGCGCCGGGCCCGCCGGACCCTTCCCCTTCCCTCCCCCTTCCCCCGCCCCTCCCGGCCCCGGCCGCACTCACTTCTTGAACATCCTGCGGGCGGAGGGCGCCGGGCGGGGGCCGGGGCCGGGCTCCCACCGCCTCGGCGCTGCTCACACGCGGCTCCGGCCGGGCCGTGCCTCGCTCCGCGCCCGCCGGAAGCGCCGCTCCATCCCCGCGGAACGGGCGGGGCTCCGGCAGCGCCTCCCCGAGCGCCGCCGGCACCGGCCCGGCCCGGCCCGGCCCGGCCCTGCCACTGCCCCTGCCCCTGCCCGCGGGGACCGGCACGCCGCTGCCTCCGCAGAACAAACCCGCTCGACTGAATATCGGAGTGCTCGTAGCTACTGACGCCATTGAAACACAACACGGGTTGAACGGGAAGAAAACGCTGCCACCCGCAAACTAGCAGAGGCAGGAGCTCTCCGCCCGCCAGCTTCAGAACAGGACACGCGATCCCGCCACCAGCATTCTGGAAAAAAAAAAAAAAAAAAAGGGAAAAAAAAACTCCCTGGGGCCGGCCAGGGAGTCAGTCACAGGTGACAGTACCACATCCTTCAGTAGGGAGTGGGAGCAGAAGCCTGGTTTGCAGAGAAGACTTCAGGTGCCAGTACCACATCCTTCAGTAGGGAGTGGGAGCAGAAGCCTGGTTTGCAGAGAAGATTTCAGGTGCCAGGCAGAGAGATGGGCTGTGGTAGAGACAATTATGCTCTACAGTGTTTATTAGAATCACATTAGGTTTTGCTTGGTGATGGCTCCAGCAATCGTGAATAGAAAACCGCAGACAGAGGGAATTTACCACACTGCTTTTTCACTGAGGAGCAGACATGCGTTTGTTCGCTAGGCAGGTGGCTATCCTTGCTTTTTAGAGTCATGGAAATGTTACCACTGGCATAAAAGGAAGGGAGGAGAGGACGTGAAACACCAGGTTATCATTATACCAACAACCAAGTTATTTTTTCCATAGAAAATTATTAAATCACCTTTGATACTAAAACAAGTAATTAAAACCTAAGAGTTACAGCAATCATGCAAAGTAAAATCAAGTTTTATATGTGGTATTATCTATTCAACTCATGAAGTACAGCGTCAGGAACACATGGGAATGAACTATGGCATTACATAAATAGTCAGGCATTTCACTCATGAACACCACTTCCACCTACTTTGTAACATCATTAAAAATACTGAGTTATAATCAAGAATTCAGTTATAACTGAAACACAGTGACACTGCTCATGCCCAGATTAGAAAATGAGAACACTGACAAACTATTTCATGGATTTTTGATGCTCCTCAGAAAAATCTTCATTAAATAATACTTTGCCATGTAAGCAATCACATTTTTAAAAACTGTAGTGAAAAATTCATCATGCTTCCACCTCAGATATTAGACAAAAAAGACAACATTCTACCCTTCCCGAGGAGTATGGCACATCTCACTGTAACCGCCTGAGCAACTGTTTTCATGCCTGCCTAAACAAGCAAGATTAGTCCCTAATTTTCAAAAATGGCATTTGTCAACAGGAAGGCTTTACCTCCATTCTTTTACTACCTTAAAGCACTTGGATCACTGGTTCCCTTCAGAGCTGAGCTAACGTCGAGTCTGGTCTCAACTTTTCCATCTTCCCTTCCAAATATTTTTTGCTGATGTAGCTGCAGACTTCAGGGCCAGGTAACGGCTCACCCAATCTAAAAGTGCTTGTACAGAGAATTTTTGAAGAAGGCTCCAAGGACCTGGACAGCTCTCAGTGTTACTGTTCAGCCTCATCACAAGAAACTGCAGACATTTGCTTTGGTTGCAATGTCACTTTTAAGTACAAGAATTTTAAAAGTGCTTTTCTTGGACAGGACTGACAAAGCAAGGGGCACATCCAGCAAATGGCTTTACGACCCTTCCAGCCCTGAGAGAAACCACCCCTCAGGACCACATGCTAAATAGAAAGGATTTAGAATCTCTCCCCCCATAAGTTTCAGTAGAAAAAGGGGGAAATCCATACACCTGGTTTCTTCTTGATCTCAGCACTTTATGTTACAGTCACCTGCTCTTCCATATCCCAGAGCTGCATATTCTGACTGATGGGACACAGTCACTGACTCTTGGACACAATAATCCTTTTGCATCTCCAGGAAAAGGGGCACTTAATCACGTCTCCTCTTTTTTAAATCCAGTCCTTTCAACAAACCAAGAAACTGTAGAAATTTTGTCTCTCTTACAGCTCGACACTCCTTACCTAATTTGGCTTAAGTGAACATGACACTTACTGCGAACAGAGGAAAACTTTACAGCATAGTCACGTTTTATTTACTTAGCAAACCTGTTTATTTCTGTTATATCTGACTTGGAATGTAAGGTATTAGCCTTGGGAACCCACGGACTGTTCTAAAGCCAGTCAAAACCAGACTTAAGCTTTGGTTTGCTAATTTTTTTTTTTTTTTTTAATCTGGAAAAAATACTTTTCTACACATCACTAGCATTACATTCCAGGCCTCAGTTGTCTGACAGTGACTCAGTGATAAAACATGCTCCAGAAAAACCTCAGTAACATCACATTCCTATCTCTATGCGCCACAGTTTCTGTCAAGACAAGTTACTGTATCTTTTCCTATCAAACACAAAAGTGCCACCAGCCTTCCCCCGAGGAGCTCTGCTGTCAGGCGGGCAGGTGTGCGCTCTCTGCTGAAATCCTTGGAGAACCTCCTGGAACAAAACCCTCATCGCCTGGTTTGTTACGCTCTCAACAGCCATTTCTCAAGGCGTTTGAATCATAACAACGTTCCCGGGGAGTTCACGGCCCTCTTAGGTAACAGATCCATCAGCATCAGAAACAAAAAAAAAAAAGAGACTTTGAAGGGCCACGACTTCTGTATTGGCTTCCAAATGTTTAAAAAACCACAACCACAAAACACTAGGCTGTAGCCCGATGCAAGTCTGTATATATTAAAGTCATACGAAAAAGCTGATGCTAAATGATTCTTTATAAATACGTGTAAGAAAACCCATTTCGATTAACAGGCCGAGGGCTCCGGGGCCGGGCTCCAGCAAACCCCGCCGTGCACCGCCGGCACCCGCGGGGGCACGGGCAGGGTGAGGGGCCGGGAACCGCCCCGGCTGAGGGCAGGGCAGGGCAGGGCATTGCGGGACCCCGGTACGAGACCCCGCAATCCCGCCACACAGAACGAGCCCGCCAGCACGGCGATAACGACCCACGATCAGTTCCGGCGGGTCCCGGGGCGGGTCCCAGGGCGGTCCCCGAGGCGGTTCCCCGGTCCTGGGGCGGGTCCCGGGGCGGTCCCCGAGGCGGTTCCCCGGTCCTGGGGCGGGTCCCGGGGCGGTCCCGAGGCGGTTCCCCGGCCCCGGGGCGGTCCCGAGGCGGTTCCCCGGTGCCGGGGTGGGTCCCGGGGCGGTCCCCGAGGCGGTTTCCCGGTCCTGGGGCGGGTCCCGGGGCGGTCCCGAGGCGGTTCCCCGGCCCCGGGGCGGGTCCTGCCGCCTCCCCGGCCGTGCTTCCGTGCGCCGCGCCCCGTCATGCACGGCGGGCGGATGCGCCGCCATCTTTGCGCTGCCTCCGCCGTGCAGTGACAATAACAACCGGCCGGGCCGGCCCCCTCAGCAGCCAGCACAGCCCGAGAGGGGCGAGCGGGGCCCGAGCGCTGCGGCCGCGGGGCAGAGCGGGAGCCGTGCGGGGCCCGGGGGCTGGAGCCGAGGCGAGAGGGAGCCGCGCTCAGCCCGCCCCGCTGCTGCTCGGCGGAGACGAGGCGGCCGGAGCAGGAGGGGAGCGCGAAGAGAAGCCGGGGGAGCGGGCGGCCGAGGGCGTTCCGCTGCCGGACAGCACAGCCCGGAGGAGCTGGTGGGGGGCGAGAGGCAGGAACGGGGGCGCTCCGCTGAGGAAGGAGGGGAAGCAGGAAGGCACAGGCAAACTACGAGAAGAAACAAAGTATTAAAGAGAAGGGGAAGAGGAGATTAAGTGATTGCTCCGACAAAGAAGAACGAGAAGGAGGGGGAATACGGAAGGACTCCACTGATGAGAGAGAGGAGTTGAAAGACCCTCCCCCCCGAGAGACAGCAAACAGAGACTGACTCTAAAACTCTCTCCTCTTTGTCACACCACAAGGATTTGATGCCCCTCAGCCTGTTCACTTCTGTGTGTTCATGTTTCCCACAGGTTTCTCTTCCCCCAACCCCCCAGCTGCAGCCCAGGAGGTCAGACCTGCCACTGATGGTAACACCAGCAGCAGCTCCTCCTGCAAGAAGAGAAAGTTAAATAACAGCAGCAACAGCAATTCCGAAAAAGAAGAATTTGATTCCATTTCCTCCTGCACCTCTTCTCCTTCTAAAAACACCTCCTCGTCATCCTCCTCCGTCATCACCACATCCTCGTGCTCCTCCTCAGGGGTTCCTTCCTCCAACCATCACCTCCAGAAGAAGCTGCGCTTTGAGGACTCCGTGGATTTTATTGGACTCGATGTGAAGATGGCTGAAGAGTCTTCTTCCTCCTCCTCTCCTGCTGCCTCTTCCCAGCAGCAGCACCAACAGCAGCTCAAAAGTAAAAGCCTCTTAATTTCGTCAGTGGCTGTGGGGCACCATGCAAATGGCCTGACCAAAGCTGCCTCCTCTACTGTTTCCAGTTTCGCCAACAGTAAACCTGGCTCTGCTAAGAAATTAGTGATCAAGAACTTTAAAGGTAACAGGCCATCATTTGTCACAACTTAGGGGGAGCTGACACTCGACTTCATGTTTTGTTTTCAACCCGAAAACCGGTTCCTTTCAGATAGCTCCAGGTTTTATAGGACAGGCTTTTCTGTGGCGAACATTTCTGTACTTATGTAAAGGAGAAGAATGTTTTCTGGTGTGTGCTTGCCCAGTCATGTATACATCCTGAGCTACACTTTGCTGCTTGGAATTATTTTTCAGGCTCCTTTCGCTCTTGTCTGTCGGGAAGGCCTTAACTTGTATGTTAGGTGAAAGGTTTTACTACCTAAGTGTGTACATTGCCTTTGTTCAAACTTTTAACGTTTGATGCCTCTTTTCTAGTAATCCTGATTCAGGGCTTAGTGCATTTTAGCCCAGTTTATGATAAGTCTTTGCACAGGTTGTGTTTTTTTTAAATTGGCCTTGAATCTGCATGTCTTGCCTCTATCTGTGTTGTCTGTTTATAGGTTAATCTGCCTGTGCTTAGTTTTAAATGTT